CCGTTGTTGCCTCTCGTTGCTGTTGCTACAAATGTCGCTGTTGCGGCTGGCATTGATGCTGCCTGTACTGCCTGGGTTGCCCGTGGTGCGGGTGCTGGCGCTGCATTCAAATGCGGGCCCTCTTGGGGCCCTCTTGGGCCGGCCTCTTGGGACCCTGCGGGGGCCCTTTGAAGGGCGTTGAGAGGCCTCCGAAAGGGCCAAGAATTCAACGCACATTTAACACAAACCGCCGCCTTATTGGGGGGCGCATTGTGTTAAAATTGTGTGGACATGTAGGGCCCTCTCGGGGCCATTCCGGGGACCTTGCGGGCCCCTCTAAACCCTCCCGGGGCCCTGCGGGGGCCTTCGAGCCTAAGAGGCCTCCAAAAAATGCAAATAATTCACCGCAAATTCAAGACACACCGCCACCTGATTGGAGAGCTTGTTGCATCAAGTTGACGTGAAATCTCGGGCCCTCTGAAAATGCCCCACGAAGGACCAAGAGAGACTCCCGAGGTTTTTGCAAGCATCCACACGGGGGGGGGCACCATGTATCCGATGTTTGTACAGATGTTTCCTCTTGCGGGGTTCGGTTTGAAATTCAGAGGGCCTTTCAGGGAGGGTCCAACCTGAGGCACCCAAAGACTTTTCGCGAGCTTCGAGTGCGATCGCGCTGATCCAAGGAAGTTCCGAAACGGCCCCAAAACGTTCCAAGACGCTCATACGTCCCCGTGAAATGGCAACAAGGGCACAAGGATGAAAACCGACACGATGTTCAATCAAACCATGCGGGGCCCGTCGCATCAAGCGACATCCGCCTGTCAATGTTACGGAAGAACGTCTCGTCTGCATTGCGCGGAGCACGTTACCCGTCCGATTGTAGGAACGAAGCCGCAAGGCACAACGTGGAACCACCCACGCCAAAAGCCCTATGAAGGATCAAGTTGGAAGAGCACCGGGGCATTAAGTAGCATCCTCCTCTCACTGTTGCCACCAAGCGCGCAAACCAAAGCATGGCATGTCCATAACATGGCCCATGGTGCACTCCTGCACACGCTACCAACATCGAAATTGATTGTGTTATAATGTTTCCCGGTTGTGTGTGTGTCGAACGTGTTTGGGTGTGCTCCAAACGTTGAAGCGACAATTGTCCTATAGCGTCGGCAACCTTTGCCGTTTGGGCAGATGGAATGGGAAGCGCGCAATCCCTGACAAATAAAATGATATCCGGACGGGCGCCGTGGTCTGTCGTGGCTCCCCTGGGAGGGTAGGGGGGGAACGCGAAGGAGAAGAACGTGAAGATGCGAGGAAGGATGAAAACGAGGGGGGGGGAAGAGCAGGAGGACTACACAGAGGAGGCGAGTGAGGATGCTGATGATGTCTCGGCGGAGGAGCGAGGTCTAAGCAGTAGCTGGCGATATGGCGAAAACGCATGTCGTGGTCGCCGTGGTCGCCGTGGTCGTCGTTGTCGTCGTCGTCTTCGTCGTCGTCGTGATCGTCGTGGCCGTCGTCGTCGTCGACGTCGCCGTGGTCGTCGTCGTCGTCGTCGTCGTCCGCCGTTCCTGGCAATAACAGGTGCGCTCTGGGCCTGGGGCCTAGGACATGTCCGTCGTTGCCGGAAGCATTTCCCTAGTGAGACGGGGCGGGCTCACTGTGAAAACTCGCTCGTGGTGGCAAATGTTCGATGCCTGGCGAAACTACTTAACGATTGGACGCGGGCGGGCTCAGCGTGTAAGTTTATATGGTGGGCGCACTTCCCGTTGCCCAGGGGCCCCGCTTAACGATCGGGCGGTGGCAGGTTTATTGTGTAACATCACTGACAGAACGCACTACACGTAATGTGGCGGGCCCTGGAGGGCCCACTTTACGATCGAATTCGTCATTGGTTCTTGCGTGCAAAAACCGAGATAAGAAGCATCAGTCGTAAACTGGCAGTGTTCGAATATAAAAAATATTCGTTCTTCAGAACATGTCTCACTTTACGGTTGATGTTTCCCGTCCTGTTGTTTCACACACCAAACGCGAAACAAAAAAAATCAAATGAGCACGCCTGGGCACTCCACTTTACGCGAAGTGTGTTATGTGTATGAATTTGCACACTGAACCCGCACCCGCCTGATCTTTAACTGGGATCGCCGGGCAACCCAAACTGCATCCCGTGTGTGAATTTACACCATAAAACCCGCCCCCCGCCGGATCGTCAACACGGTTCGTTGGACAACGCCCCACGGGCCCCACTGGTCTCGTCAGGCCCACAGTTCCCCCAGGCCACACTGGCCGCACAAGTCTCACAGGCCCCACAAGTCTCGCAGGTCCCTCAGGTCCCACAAGTCCCACAGGTCCCACAAGACCCACAGGTAGCACGGGCCCAGCGGTTCCCACAAGCCCTGCATGTCCCACAAGGCCCGCAGGTCTCGCAAGTCCTAACAAACCCGACGCGTCGCTCAGGCCCCACTGGTTTCACAGGCCCCACGGCTACCACAGGCCTCGCAGGTCCCACGGGTCGCACAAGTCCCACAGGTCCCGCAAATCCCACCATACCCTCAGGTTGCCCAGGCCCCGCATGTCTCGCGAGCCCCACGAACTGCACAATTCCCACAGGGCCCACAAGTCTGACACGTCCCACATGACCCACAGGGCGGTACGCTAACAGATCAAAGGGAAATCGGGCGGGAACCCAATAGTTGGGCACAGCAATTGGACGTCGAACCTGTTCGGGTGTGCTCAAAGCGTCGGGGCGGCAAGTGCCTTATAGCGTCGGCAACCTGTGCCGTTCGGGCAGATGGAATGGGAAGCGCGCAATCCCTGATAAATAAGAATATCTGGACGGACGCCGTGGTCTGTCGTGGCTTCCCCAGGAGGGTACGGGGTGAACGCGAGGGAGAAGAACATGAAGATGCGAAGAAGGATGAGAAGGTGGGAAGAGGAGCAGGAGGATTAGAAGGAGGAGGCGAGTGAGGATGCTGATGATGTCTCGGCGGAGGGGCGAGGACTAAGCAATAGCTGGCGATGTAGCGAAAACGCATGTTGTGGTCGCTGTGGTCGCCGTGGTCGCCGTGGTCGTCGTGGTCGTCATCGTCTTCGTCGCCATCGTCGTCGTCGTGGTCGTCGTCGTCGTCGACGTCGCCGTGGTCGTCGTCATCGTCGTCCGCCGTTCCTGGCAATAACGGGTTCGTTCCAAGCCTGGGGCCCAGGACATGCCCGTCGTTGCCGGCAGCATTCCCCTAGTGGGGGGGGCGGGCTCACTGTGAATACTCGCTCGTGGCGGCAAATGTTCAATGTCTGGCGGAACTACTTAACGATTGGACGCGGGCGGGTTCACTGTGAAAATTCATATACGGAACGCACTTCCCGTTCGTTGCCCACGGACCCCACTTGACGATCGGGCGGTGGCAGGTTTTGTCTAACCTCACTGACAGAAAGCACCACACGTAAAGCGGCGGGCCCTGGAGGGCCCACTTTACGATCGGATTCGTCCTGGGCTCGTGCGTGAAAAACCAGGACGGGAAGCATCAATCGCAAGGTGGATAGATTGAACTATAGAAACAGTTTCATTTGTTATTCAAAGCATGTCCCACGTTACGATGGATGTTCCCCGTCCGTTTTGTTCAACAAACAATGTAGATATACATATGTACATATATAGAAAAATGGGCACGCAGGGGCACACAACTTTACGCGAAGTGCGTTATGTGTATGAATTTGCACACTGAACCCGCACCCGCCCAATCGTTAACTGGGAACGCCGGGCAACCCAAACTGCATCCCGTGTGTGAATTTACACCATAAAACCCGCCCCCCGCCGGATCGTCAACACGGTTCGTTGGACAACGCCCCACGGGCCCCACTGGTCTCGTCAGGCCCACAGGTCCCCCTGGCCCCACAGGTCGCACAGGTCTCACAGGCCCCACAGGTCTCGCAGGTCCTTCAGGTCACACAGGTCACACAGATTGCACAGGTCCCAGTCCGGTGGCTCCCACAAGCCCTGCAGGTCCCGCAAGGCCCGCAGGTCTCGCATGTCCTAACAATGCCGACGCTTCTCACAGGCCCCACAGCTCCCACAGCTCTCGCAGGCCCCACAGGTCGCACAGGTCCCACAGGTCCCGCAAGTCCCACCGATCCCGCAGGTCGCCCACGTCCCGCATGTCTCGCAGGTCCCACCAGCTGCACAAGTCCCACAGGGCCCACACGTCTGACACGACCCACATGACACACAGGGCGGCACGCTCAAAGACGAAAGGGAATCGCGCGGAAATCCAATACTTGGGCAGAGTTACCCATCCCCGTGGGCAGAGTTACCCCTCCTCATCCTCCTCCTCCTCCTCCTCGTCCTCCTCCTCCTCCTCCTCGTCCTCCTCCTCCTCCTTCTCCTCGTCCTCCTCTTCCTTCTCTTCCTCCTCCTCCTCCTCCTCCTCCTCCTCTCTCTCCTCCTCGTCCTCCTCCTCCTCCTCCACCTCTCCTCTCCTCCTCCTCCTCTCCTCCTCCTCCTCCTCCTCCCTCCTCCCCTCTCCTCCTTCTCCTCTTTCTCCTCCTCGTCCTCCTCCTCCTCCACCTCTTCCTCCTCCTCCTCCTCCTCGTCCTCCTCCTCCTCCTCCGTCCTCTTCCTCCTCGTCCTCTCCCTCGTCCTCCTCTCGTCCTCGTCCTCCTCCATTTCCCTCCTTTTCCTTTTCCTCCCTCCTCCTCCTCTCTCCTCCTCCCCCCTGGCGCGCGCGGTATATATATATATATATATATAATGTTTTTCATATGACATGTATTGCGCCCCGTGGGTCCTGATCATCAGCCCAGGGGGGATCTGGTCATTTGTGAACCACAAGATGACATTAAACTAGTCTTCCTCCTCCTCCTCCCCTCCTCCTCCTCCTCCTCCTCCTCCTCCTCCTCCTCCTCCTCCTCCTCCTCCTCCTCCTCCTCCTCCTCCTCCTCCTCCTCCTCCTCCTCCTCCTCCTCCTCCCCCCCCTCCTCCTCCTCCTCCTCCTCCTCCTCCTCCTCCTGGAGGGCGCACGGAGGGCGAGGGCGGCCTGGCAGCCCCAGCCTCGCAGCAGGAGCTCCCCAGCGCGCGCCGGCGGCGGCCGCGGCGGCGGCGGCGAGGGCGCCAGGCCTGCCGCCGTGCCTCCCCGCCTCCGGCCTTCGTTCCTCGCTTTCCGCGCGGCGACGACGGCGGCAGCCAGGACGATGACGGCGACGACGACGACGACGACGACGACGACGACGCCGACGCCGACACCGACGCCGACGCCGACGCCGACGCCGACGCGACGACGACCGACGCCGACGCCGACGCCGACGCCGACGCCGACGCCGACGCCGACGCCGACGACGACGACGACGACGACGACGACGACGACGACGACGACGACGACGACGACGACGACGGCGGCGGCGGCGGCGGCGGCGGCGACGGCGACGGCGACGACGGCGACGGCGACGAAAAAGACGGCTACAACGGCGACGGCGACGGCGGCGGCGACGGCGACGGCAACGACGGTGGCAACGACAAAAAAGCCAGCGACGACGGCGACGGCGACGGCGGCGGCGACGACGACGACGACGGCGGCAAGAGCGGCGGCCAAGGCCACGACGGCGGTGGCGGCGGCGGTGACGGTGGCGACGACGGCCACGACGACGGCGACGGCGAGGGCGGCGGCGGCAGCGACGCAGGAGGCGACGAGGCCTGGAAGCGACGCCAGCGGCGCGGCCGCGCCGTGGCGCGGCAGCGCCGGCGAGGGACTGCCGCTGCCGACGGCGCCAGCGCGCGCAGCCCAAGCGGGCAGGCGCTCGAGGGCGCAGGTGCCGGAGCGGCGCAGGTCCCAGGCGCGGTCGCCTGGCGGGGGCGGCGGCGCAGGTCTCAGGCGCATCGCCGCAGACAGCTCACATCTCAGCCGAGACCTGCACCCCTCCGCGAAGCTCAAGACAGGTTCTGCCCGCGCAACGCCGGCGACCCCAGACCCACAGCTTTCGGTGGTGATGCCGACACAAACGACTTCGGTGATGTTGGACCCACGGCCTCTTGGTTTTGACGGGCGCACGGGCTCACGGGCGCACGCACGGGCGCACGAGCTCACGGGCTCACGGGCGCGAAGGGCCAGTCTGCGGTCCGGCGACCGCAGACCCAGAGCCTCGGTGATGATGCCGAGACGACCGACTTCGGCGATGCTGCCCACAACTTTCGGCGATGTCTTGCTGGCGTCCGCAGCCTACGCCGCGCGCGCCACTGAACATCGATAGTGGCAGGAGGGTCCAGAATCGAATCGACACGTCGGATCGGCGACCGAAATGCATCGGATCGGCGGAAATCGGCAGCCACGTCGAGAGCAGCCGAATCGGCAGAACTCGGCGGGCTTGTGGGCCTCCATGGAAGAAAGGGGAATCCAGATCGCAACCCCGAGTCGAATCGAAGCGGAATCGGAGGCCATCGACATCGAATCGAGTCGGCGGAGTCGAGCTGAGCCCCGCGGTGCGGGTGCGTGCGGGGCGGCAAGGCTTGCTCCGGCTCTGTACCCCGCGGGGGGGGGGACCGTGCGGGCCACCTGCGGAGACGGCGTGCTGCCACGGAGGGCACCGCGAGGGAGGAGCGCCAAGGGCTGTGTTCTTCCGGGCCCACGGCGCGCCTCGACCACGAAGAGGCTCCCCGGCCAGGATCAGGAGGAGGAGGAGGAGGAGGAGGAGGAGGAGGAGAGGAGAGGAGGAGGAGGAGGAGGAGGAGGAGATGGACGAAGAGGGGGAGGAGGAGATGGGGAGGAGGGAGAGGACGAGGAGGAGGAGGAGGACCAGCGTAAACCCAAGGGTCATCAACGATGTTGGAATGAACCCTCCCTGCAAACTCTCTCTTCGCAAGCCGCTACAACGGTTCATTTCCATTGAGGGAACTGCTTCGTTGGAAGACAACCAATTGAAAATCCTGAAGAACATTGCTCTCGGGATTTCAACGTCACGTATCAACCTGTCTGCTGCGACGTGACGAACCGGAATCGTGCCAGAATGCCATTTTTGGGACTTCAACACCGCGAACCAACATAACTGTTGCGCCCGCATAATCATGAATCCATCTAAAACATAATTTCTGGTACGTTGATCATGGACATCCGTGAAACTCTTGCAAATGTTTACAACGAGTGTACGCGGCGTTAAGACGATAACCACATGTTGAAAGGAACCACCCTCAACAACAATTTAAAACGAATGTGCGCGGAGCTTAGGCGAGAGCCACATTTCGAAAACAACCCGCCCTCAATCCGTGAAACGATTGCAAGTTGCGAATGTGCGCGGCGCTAAGGCGAGAACCACATGTTGAGAAGAAACCGCCCTCAATCCGTGAAACTCTTGCCAATTCTGAAAACGAATGCGCGCGGCGCTAAGGCGAGAGCGACACTTTGAAAACGACCCGCCCTCAATCCGCGAACCTCTTGCAAAATTTGAAAACGAATGCGCGCGGCGCCATGGCGAAAACCACATTTTGAAAACGGCCCGCCCTCAATCCGTGAAACACGTGCGAACTCCTCGGTTCACACTGCGGCGCCTATGTGCGTTTGCTTGTGAATTTAGTTCATTTTGTTCTGTGCATGTGCAACTGCGCTCTTGTTGTGCAGGTGCGAACCGGCTTGCCAACGTGGCGGCGGTGTTCGCTAATTCGCATCGTGCCGCACGCCCCGGACTTTGCCTCTCGCCGCCAGACCGTTGTCGCGCGGCCGCCGACCAAAAAAGTATCCCCACCAGCCCATTCAGAAGCCCTGCCCATGAGAGCTGACGAGAAAAGGGACGAAAAGGCACATCTGGGGAAACAAAGCGAGCAACCAGGGTGAACCGAAAGATCTCTGGGAGCAAGGGGGCGGCCTTGGAAGGCCTCTTCGGGCCATCCCTGGGGGCCGCGTGGGGGCGAGGGGAAGAGGAGGAGGAGGAGGAGGAGGACGACGACGAGGGGGACGAGGAGGACGAGGACGCGGATAAGGACGAGGACGAGGAGGAACAGGACTAGGATGAGGACGACGCGGACGAGGATTCATGGAACCATCTAGAGGTATTCTTGCTGCTGCTGCTGCTGCTGCTGCTGCTGCTGCTGCTGCTGCTGCTGCTGCTGCTGCTGCTGCTGCTGCTGCTGCTGCTGCTGCTGCTGCTGCTGCTGCTGCTGCTGCTGCTGCTGCTGCTGCTGCTGCTGCTGCTGCTGCTGCTGCTGCTGCTGCTGCTGCTGCTGCTGCTGCTGCTGCTGCTGCTGCTGCTGCTGCTGCTGCTGCTGCTGCTGCTGCTGCTGCTGCCTGCTGCTGCTGCTGCTGCTGCTGCTGCTGCTGCTGCTGCTGCTGCTGCTGCTGCTGCTGCTGCTGCTGCTGCTGCTGCTGCTGCTGCTGCTGCTCTCTGGACGGTCACGAAACGACTCAGGATGAACAACCGGCCCTGGGGAATTGGTCCAGACCTCTGAGGGTCGACGTCTCGAAAAAATTGCGACGTCGGAGGTCAGGGGAGGCCGTGCCCTGTTACAGGCTACGGGACAGAAGGGAAATATATGAAAGACAACTCGCGTTAGTGAGCGTTTTCTTTTTCGGCGTTTCGGCATTTGGGGGAGGGGGGAGAAGGTGGGTCTGGCTGGACCTCTGCTTACTGCGACCATTATGGGGGAGGCTCCACTGGCTCGAAGCAGGTGCCCAAAACAACCAAGATCTACTCCATAGGGGGGGGTGAAGAGGGAGGGGGTGCGAGGACCCGCGCCGATCGGCAGAATACTGAATATAAAAACGACCACTTAGAGAAGCAGTGGCAGCCCATCCCTCCCTCGACTACGCCTGGAAAAATACAGCACTTGCCACTCAGCGCTCTGGCCGCATGCCGTCTTCGTCGACCGGCTGCACCAACCCACGCTGCCGCCGCTTTCGTCGCCTCTGAGCACACTCCTACGGCGTACTCCTACGGCGTATAAAACACGCAAAACCTGTTTAATAAAAGCGCAGACGGTTTTACAAAACGATGTGTGAAACCGGAAACGTCGCGATTCGCAATCGTCACCGTGTGAGCCTGCCGACTAAGTCCGCACGCGTTCCGGGAAAAATGAAAAAATCAGCCTGGTGGGTGTGGGGGTAGGTCGTTTTATCTCGGCACGCCAAGTATGCGAACGCTTTCTCATCCGGCGTTTCGACAGTGGGCGGCAGGGAGGGGGGGAAGGGGAGGTCTGGCTCATGGGACCTCTGCTGAATGCGACTGTGTGCAGCAGTGCGTCCTATGGGAGAGACCCCACCTGCTCGAAGCAGGGGCCAAAAACAGCCAAGATCTACTCCATAGGGGGGGGGAGAGGGGGGGTGCGAGGGCCCGCGCCAGTCGGCACAAGAACGAATAAGAAGACGACCACGAATCACGTGACATGCCTCCGTGTTGCTCCGGGGGAACCCTCCGCGGGGCACTCCGCGACACCGACAGACGCAGAAGGCATCCACACACACACACACACACACACACCACTGCGGCTGGCCAGGGCCAGCCTGCGCCCAAGGCAGGAGGTGTGCGCCCGCCTGGCCGAGGCCCGGCGGGTCTCTGCACCGCCCCGGGGCCCAGGACGGCCCTTAAGGCCCCTCTGCGAGGCCGCCCCGGCGGTGGGCGCGCCCTCCGCCCTCTCGGGAGGCCCTCCAGAGGCTCGAGGGCGCGACCTCTCGGCGCAGGCCCGGCGAGCGCGCGGGTCGGTCGAGCAGCCCGAGGGAGTTCTGGCTGTGCCACACCTTCCGCCCGAGTGCGATTCTCTGGACCTCATCTCTGCATCAACCGAGGAGTCCCCCTCTGTCGAGTCGAAGATAGTTTCTGATGCTCTCTTACTGGGAAGACTAGGAGAGCTCTGTCGCCTCGCTGAGGCGCTGGGGCACAAAGCAGCATGGATCAGGGATCCGTGGCTCCGGCGCGCGGGCGCCGGCCGTCAGACCCGCGGGTCCGAGAGAGCACCCCCCGACACCTGGCGCCGGCGCCGCCCGAACTGGCGACAGAGCGCGCCGATGCTGCACGGAAGCGGGGCGCGTCGCGAGTCCACGCGCCTCACGCCATGTCTCGGTGCGCCGACCTTGCAGACGTGCTGCGGCGGGTTTGTGCGTGGACTTCTGTCGATGCAAGACCCCGACGCGGCGGGCGAAA